TCTGTCTTTCTCTCCCTCTTTCTCTCTCCTTCTCCCTGTTTTTCTCTACCTACCTCTCCCTTTTCCTCTCTGACTTCTTCTCTCCCTCTTGTCATTTGCTTTGAGGGAGGTCCCCTGACCCATCATGAGCCACAATGTGAATGAGTCCACTTGGCTAGGATTGTAAGCATCCTGCCACTAGCTATGCTAGGGCACCATTTTGGAAGTGGTCTTTCATTCCCCATCAAGACTTGGGAGGATGGTGCCCTGGCCATCCTCTTGACTGCAAGAAACCCCATGACACCCAGAGCCAGAGTCCTCCACCATTCTGCTTCCAGATTCCTGTCCCCCTAAAACTGTGCAATAGTAAACTTTGTTCTGGGATAACTTGTTCACAGCAAAAGATAAGCAACACAGAGCAATTCGTCCTCAGGCACCCATATGTCTTGGTCACCTTCACACCTGCTGCACCAGCAGGGACTTCCCTGTGCTCCAGCCAGGTAAGTTCTTCCATCAGCTTCTGGGTGGCATTCCCTCCTTCCCACATCCAACACAGCCCTATATTTTGAACAGCTCTCTGGTTTAATCCTGAGTGGCAAGAGTGCCAGCCCACCATGATCTGCCTCAGAGCCAGCACCCCAGGCCTGATCTTCCAGCAGGAAGACCTGGAAGTGGAGCTGTTTTGTTAACTTCCATGAGTTCCTAAAGCACATGGACACGTGATTTCAGTTGTCTGTCAACRGCCTGGATATGAACTGCACTGTGGCATGTTGATACCCAGCTGCCTGCAGGGCCTGCTAGCTCCTACTCTGGGCCCACAGTTCTATGTGGGTTGAGCCCACCTGTGCTAGCTAGTTTTCTGTTCTTGTGGTAAAATAACTGAGAAAATCACCTTAAAAAGAGGGAAGGTTCAGGTTTCCAGAGGTTTCAGTTCTGGGTCACTTGGTCTTATTACTTTTGGGCCTATGGCAGGGCAGCATATCATGGCAGGAATGAAGCTGCTCACTTCATGGCAGCCAGGAAGAAAACAGGAAGAGACCAGGGGTCCACTCTTCCCTGGAGAGCACACCCCTAGCAACCTAGGACTGCCCACTAGGCCCACCTTCTACAGGTTCCACCACCTCTGGATAGGGCCATGGGCTGGGGACCAATCCTAACACATGGGCCTCTCAGGGACACTCAAGGTCCAAACCATAACACCACTGGGCTGGGCTGTCTGCCTGGGTTGAGAGGTGCTGGGGAACCTCCTGCAGCTTCACTGCTTATCAGCTACTGTTAGCTTCCCCTGTCCATGGCCCCCAGCATGGGCAGCAGACCCCTGAACACAGAGTGGAGCCATCCTCAAGGACATTCTGCTCTAGGCCTAGCATTTTATCAGGCTGTCATCCTCCCTGGGGACTCCTCACAGGCTCTCATGTGGGTAAATCCCGGAGCAAGAGTCTGCAGGTGTACACTCCAAGTCATCCTGTGTGTGATCAGAACTCCAGGCCACGTGTGAAAGAAACTACCTGAAGCAAAAGTAAGTCCTGAGCATTGACTCCAGGGTGAGCCACTCCAGGGCCTGGCTGCCTCTTAGCCCTCCACCAGCCCTGCCCCATGGGGGCTCAGCAGAAACTCTAGATTTCCTCCTTCCTTGATGGGGTCCTAAGGAACTGGGCTGGCTATCCTGGCCCAGGCAAGAGCTCAGCTGGCAGCAGGCTCCAACATCTCCCCTCATCTCACACCAAAGGAATGCTGAGCCAGTGACCATAGATGCACCAGAGGCTCAGCAGCCCAGCAGCATCTAGTGACCCCCTGCATGTGGATGCTCTAGCTGAATGGCTCCAGCAAAAGCCATAGGTGGTGTGACTTGGATGCACAGGCCTTTCCCTGAGCATGTCACTGTGGCTTGGGGTGTCCAGAGCCAGGGGAAGAGCAGGCCTCCACCCAACCATGGAGATGGGGTTTCTCAGTGTAAAATCAAAGCTCTGTTGCATGAGGAAAAACATCAGGTGGGGAAACTGAGGCTGGGGACTTTTGCAGAAGTGTAGAAGCTCTAGGGACTCATGAAGCTTTATTCAAAGCCCTAGTAAGGCACCATATCCTCCCACCAGCACCCTGTCCCATCTCCTGGTAATTCTTTTCCAATGCCAATGGGGAACAGTGTGATTAGGGGCACATTATTAACTTGCCAATCTCATTTCTGGGACACAAATGCTAAAGGCTTATGCAAACCACTTAGCATATAATGAGGTCTCCAGGACAAATTACTTGGGTATCAATTAACTATCTAGGGAAATGTCAGGCAGGACCCATCATGCTCACAGGGAGAGAGAGCCAATGAATTGGAGCATCAATTGGATCTGGGATCAGCCTCCAGCAGGGCCAAGAAGGAGGGTAGAGCCTCACTGCTCCCTCTATGCGAGCCAGTCTGCTACCTCATTCATTCCTTAGTCACCTGCCCAAATAAGTTGTGGCTGAAAGAGGGAATAATAGGGGACATGGCAGTGCTGAGGATGGACATATGTTCAGGCAGGTGGGCAGAGACCAAGTAACAGGCTCAGCTCTTGCCTCTCTGGCCAGCAACACTCATGTGATCTGGGTGCCTGGGACATGTACCCCAGATGAGGACCAGTGACCATATCCTCACATGCCCTACCCATGGCTTTGCCCATGGTGGAGCCCCAGAACTCGCTCTGGTGCAGTAGATGACCCCACCCTGGTCTACTCAGTGAGTGATTGGGAGCTTCAAATTCCCAGCCCCCAGCCTTATGTCTATTCATACACTGACATATGGTACTGCCACAGGGGTGGAGTGGTCCAAGGAAGCTGCTAACTGAGAGAGTGAATCGTGTACTCATTTGAGCCCTGCTGAAGCAGAACAAATGTAAGTTGCTAGGGAGCAGAGGTACTGTGTGTGTTTGCATGCAGCACTGTAGGAGTGCAGGAGTGCAGGAGGAGGGAAGGGGGCACATGGGCAGGCTGAGGGACTTGCAGTGGGTTCTGGATCTCAGAAGATAACTGGGTGTTAGTTGATGGGGTCCTAAGGAACTGGGCTGGCCATCCTGGCCCAGGCAAGAGCTCAGCTGGCAACAGGCTCCATCTTCTCCCCTCCTCCTCACACCAAAGGAATGCTGAGCCAGTGACCATAGATGCACCAGAGGCTCAGCAGCCCAGCAAATAGGCCCTAAAATGTTCAGGTTCTTTCTACAACAAAGATATTCTATCTCACATTGAACCAAAGCCCTGAGAGTTCTGGGCCAGTGTCTTCTGTTTTTATTGGGGGTGGCCTGGCCCCATATCAGTGATTAGGGTAATGCTGCCCACCAGTGCTTTCCCCACCAGGCCCCTACTCCATGTTGGGCTCCCTCTCTAGTGCCCAGCTGAGGATCAACCACCAAAAAGCCCAACTCCTGGGACTGGAGAGGACAGAGCTGAGCCAAAGGCCAGGGTCCCAGGGTCCTCAGCAGCCTTTCCTCCCTACCCAGGTCTGGAGCTTTCTGCCTGGAAACAGGCTTCTTCATCAACTGGTCATGTGCATCCTAGATTACCAGTGGGTTTGAGATCTATGCCCACCACCTCCCAGGAGGTGCAGGTTTATGGACCCCTGACACAGTATGACCACCTGCCCCTGCAGTGATAGGAAGTCAGAGGAGATGGAGATGGGATCCAGGATACGAAAGGCTAGGATACTCAGGCTGTCTAGGGGAAGAGCTGGGGGTGGGGCTTTCCCTTGGCTTCAGCTGAGTTTCTGAGCCTCTGAGCCTCTGAGACACTAGAAAGCTCTGGATGCCCTTCCACTGGCCTGAGCTTGCTCTCTGAGAAGTGGCAGTCTCATGGGGTATGACTGAGGGGTTCACCTACTACTTCTTGGCAGGGGTAGGTCTAGGGCCTGGAAATAGTACCCCAACACTATGAGCTTTTCCCAAGGGGCCAAAGGGCAGAGTCTTATCCCTCAGCAGTGCAGCCTGCTAGAGAGGGTCCCCCATTAACTCCCTCCAGGCAACTGGAGTGAGGGGCTACTTCCAGGACAGCTCTGACTCCAGGTCCATCAACACCCTTATTCCAGCCCTGTTGGGCCATCTATGTGTTCTGGCCTTCTCAGCTTCACCCTGGACAAGGTACTTCTGTCCCAACAGAATGTTTGGGGTGGCTCTGCCCCCTGGCCCTGGCCCTGGCTGGCAGTGTTCATATCTGCTGCACGTGCTGGGCTGTCCGCATGTCAGGCACCACTGTTCAATGAGGCATCTGCTGCTACCATCTTGGGGCAGATGGCTTCCAGTGAGCTAAATGTGCATGAGGGAAGGGATGCTGTAGGAAACTCCTCCTGCAGGGAGTATGGGGTGGGAGAAGCAGGCACCTGCTAGCTGGGGGAGCAGGGAACACATCTGAGGGAGAGTGCTGGGATCACATGGGCTCCAAGGTTGGGGTGGGGCCCAGGAGCCAGATCCTGGACACAGGTAGCTTGAGTCTAACCTCAGAGAGGGTACAGGACCCTGCAGGACAGGATTGGCTTGCCTCTATCATGCCTGGCCAGGTGGTCTTAGGCAAGTCTCTTCCTTCTTAGTTCTTCAGAACCTGAAGGAGAGTGTTTGGTGTCTTCAGGTGCCTTCATTTCCTCATCCCTGAGCTCGGCAGAATAGGGGCTTCCTCAGCACACAGATGCCTGCCATCTGCAGGGTACTCTGGCCAGGAGGTGATGGGGCCCCACCCCACCCTATTAGACTCCCCTCAGGGTGTGCAGGAAGGGCCTCCACCCTGCAACCAGAGGCTGAAGATCCCAAAGAGCTTGGGGTGGCTGTTATTGAGGTCCCCATGTAGAGCAAGACCCTTAGTCAGCTTTCCTCAGCCTCCTAGGATGCAGTAGGAGCCACACAATGAGGGGTCTGGCCAGGCTGCTGGCCAGGAAGCTGACTGAAATAGGAGATCCTGACTGCCTTGGCTGTCTGCAAAGCCCAGTCCACTGGACCCAGAACCCTTCAGAGATATTGGGCCCCAAGGCAGGAGGATGTGTGAATTGTCATCAAGGAAATATCCCAGTCACCAAAGCCTTGTTTTGGTTGGGAGGGTCTGAGGCTGGAAGGAAGGCTCCATGCGTACCCCTAGAGTCCCTGCTCTAGAGTAGTACCCACCCAGGCCAGTAGGGCTTCTCCTTGGTGACAGAGAACATGGCAGGGTAGCCTGTACTCAGACCTAGTATGCTGGATTTGGATTCCTGGGCTCTCAGCCTCTTATAGGACCAGCCCCTGTTGTCTTAGACAGACAGGAGACTGAGGCTAAAAAGCCTGAGTCACTTGCCCAGGTCACTCAGGGCTACTTATTGCCAAGCTGTGCTGTGAATCTAGGTTCTGGTCAGCTTCCAGGCAGCTCCAGGTGTGTAGACCTGTAACACCAGACCTGAAGAGCCCATGTTCTTTGGATGGTCTGCCAGCTGCCTCCAGAAGTCCAAAGGAGCATGGCAGGTAGGCCTATTTCCCCTCTTCCCACCTTACAATCACCTACCCCCAGCCACTGACCATGTGCCAGAGGCCTCTGCCTGCCATGACTCAGCCCAGCTGTTACTCAGCCTTCCATTTGATGGTTCTTGCCTTTTTTTTAACTTCTCCAAAGTATGACATCACCACTGAGTCATGGCAGGGTGACTTCTGCAGCACTGGCAGGGCCTCCTYTCAGGCCTCAGTCCATGCATGCCCAGGAGTGTCCCTGGCTTCCTCTCACCAAGTGGCTGATAATTAGATACTGGGATGAGGCATCCTTGGACTTTGGTCCTGGACAGACTCTCAACCCCAGGGCCAGCAGTCTGTACCTCAGTTTCTCCTGACTCATGCATGGTGCTGTCCATAGTCACCCTCCCCAGCTGCCTCCCAAACCAAGGGCCCAATGACATTGTAGATTGGAGACCAAGAGGCCAGAAACCCTCCAAGGGAGGAGTGCCCCAGTGTTCCCCTTCTCAAGGAAGAGGCAAGAAATGGGGTTTGCATAGGAAGGCTCAGGACGTGGGTCAGTGCCATGAGAGGCTGGGTCATCATGTGGATAAAGGCTGTCCTGGAGGAAGGCAGCTTCCCTGACACTCAGCATGGGCAATAGTGGCTGCTGTTTTGTTAGGCCCTGAGCCCCCTGTCCTTAGGAGCCAAGCATGGAAGGACAGCCCTGATGCAGATGGGATCCTTCTCAGGGTACAGTTGATGGAGTGTTAAAAGCAGAGGTTCACCATGTTGAACTCAAGGCCTGGGTTTAGTCTATGTGGACTCATTTAGGATTTGTCTCTCTCCTCATCCTGAAATGTAGTTAGTGACCCCCTTAAGGGCAGTGCTCTGGTGCCAATGAGTCAAAGTAGGAGCCACCAAGTGTAGACCCCAGTTCTGATCCTGGTATCTTGAAGGTTCTCCACCTCTGAGAAGGTTTGCTGCCCACAGGGGCTGGCTGAAAAGCAGTTGGCCTATACTCCACAGGGGATCTGATAGGAGAAAAAGAACTGCTTTGGTGACAGGTAGTGAGGGAAATTTACTATGTTTTAAATGCAAAATCACAATTAAATGCAAACAATGCACAAGAAATAAAATTGAACATAACAAAAAATGAGATATTTATTTTGCAAATATCTACTCCCAGTCTGTGGATTGTTTCTTCATTATCTTAATATTTTCTTTTTCAGACCATAAGTTATTGATTCATTGATTTATTCATGCATTATTTGTGATGGGATCTCATTTTGTTGACAGGCTTGTCTTAAACTCCTGGACTCATGCATTCCTACTACCTCAACTCTCAGGTTTTTAAAGTTTTAAATTTTGTCAAAGTCCCAATTCACCAGTATTTTCTTCCATGAATTATATTTTGGTATTGAAATAAAAAGATACTGTAAAAAGCAAGGATACCTAGATGTTTTCTCATGTTATTTTATAAATGTCTTAGAGTTTCATGTTTAAATTTATGTCTACAAATTTAACTCATAGAAGAAAAGAGCAAAACGATTGTTACCAGATAGTAACCTCAAAACAGACACATCCACCAGTGGAATAACATAGAAGACACTGAGATAAATCCACATATCTAGAATCATTTGATCCTTGACAAGATATCAAAAACATACATTGGAGAAAAGACAGCCATTTTAACAAATGGTGTTGAGAAAATGGATAGCATATGCAGAATAATGAAATGAGACCCTTATTATATAATTCAAAATAACTAAAAGTAAGTTTAAAATTTTTCACCACAAAAATATAATAGATCAGCAGTGAACTAGATAGATAATATTAATGAGCTTGACTTTTGAATAATTCTACATTCTGTGTGTGTGTGTGTATAAAATCACATGGCATCCCATAAATATATATGAGTTCTCAATTCAAAACAATGTTAGTAATGTAATAAAAATTAGACTAAGATACAGGTTCAGTTAATATTTATTGAAAGGATAAAGGATTGTGTTAGTGTTAGGGTTGGGATCTGAAATGTCCCCCACAGGGCTCATGTGTTGAAAGCATGGTCACCCATGCATCAAGATTCAGAGTTGGAGTTTTTAGCCAATAACTGAATCATGAGTGCTTTGACCTCATCAGGGGATTAATCCAGTGATAGCTGAATGAACTTCTAGGAGATGAGACCTAATTGGAGCAAGTAGGTCACTTGGAACTTGGCCTGAAATTTATCTTCTCCACAGCCCATACTCCCCCTCTCTTTCTCTGCTTCCTGGCTGCCCTGAACTGAACAACTCTTCTTCACTAAGCCCACCACCATGATATTCTGCCTCACCTCAGGTCCAAGAAATGGAGCCAGCCAACCACGGATGTATAGAAAGCAGTACTTAGAAGGAAGATTTTAGCACAGGATACATATATTCAAATAAGAAAGCTGTAACATCAATAATTTAAGTATCCGTCTTAGAAAAATAGAGAAAGAGCCTAAATAAAGCAAGAAAAGATATAAAAATTAGAACAAAAATCAATGAAGTTTTTTAAAAATCAATATCAAAAAAATCAACAAAATCCAAAGCCATTTTTTAAAAAAGATCTATAAAATTGATAAAACCCAAACCAAGGGAATGGGAGAGAGAAAGGGTCAGGAAAGAGAGAAATCAGAAGTAGAGCAGGAGGAAAGAAGAGAAGTGAGGAGACAGACATAAAAAATTTAAAAATTACTAATATCAGAAATAAAACAAGTTCATCACCACTGATGTCATGAACATTAAAAGATTAACAAAAGAATATTAGGAAAACTATGCATGCTTACAATTTGAAAATGAACTGATTCCTTAAAAGATGCAAACCACCAAAACTCCGTGTCTTAATATATTCATGCTGCTCTAACAGAATACCATAACCGAGTGGCTTGATATGATTTTGAATTGACACAGAAACTTATTTCTCATACTTCTGGAGATGAAGAGGTTCAAAATTATTCAAGATTTCAGCAATTTCAGTGTCTCTTGGGGATCTACCTCCTGGAATATAGAAGGATATCTCCTCGCTGTGTTCTTACATGGCAGAAGAGGGGAAGACCCTGTGGCCTCTTTAACCAAAGCACTAATCCCATTAATGAGGCTCCACCCTCAGGACATAACCTTCTCTCAAAGGCCCCACCTCTGAACACCATCACATAGGAGATTATGTTCCAACTAATACATTTTAAAGGGAT